ACCCAAACAGTGCTGCAGCCATGATTTGGAATGCTGTGTTATGAGGGTGCAGGGATACACTAGGTAGGGTCATATGTCAATACACTTATTTTATTTAGAAAGTGAAAAAAGGTACCAACGTATACTAGTACATACACTATGGTTATTCATATGTAAAATATACATACAATTGGCAAAAATGCAACAAAATAGCACAGTGACCATCTCTGGGTAATGCTATTGTGGGTGATTCCTATTTTCTTCTCTACACTTTGCTCAAAGTTTCCTCCAATGAGTAGGAAATCCTTTTGTAATCAGAAAAATATTTATGAATCTTAAGACAAAACAAGCATGTAGTTATACTAAATGCTATTGGGATAGTTAAAATAATCATTTCTTTCTTTTCTTTTTCATAGTTTTCAAGTTTACCCTTACAAACATGTATTAATTTAGCCCTAGCTGGTTTAGCTCAGCAGATAGAGCATCGGCCTGTGGACTGAAGGGTCCTGGGTTTGATTCTGGTCAAGGACACATGCCTGGGTTTTGGGCTTGATCCCCAGTAGGGGGTGTGCAGGAGGCAGCCGATTGATTCTCTCTCATCATGGATGTTCCTATCTCTCTCTCCCGCTCCCTTCCTCTCTGAAATCAATAAAAAAATATTTTTTACAAAAAGAAGAACTTGATTTAAAAACAAACAAAAGAACAAACATGTATTAATATTAGAAGGAAAAACAGTCCCAAATTTGCCCACCACAAATTCATTCTCTCCTTTTTTCTTTCTAATGGAACCTGATTTTTTTTTTTTTTTTTTGGTGGTGGTGGTGGGGCACGGGGAATGTCAATATACCAGCAAAATTTTGTATCTTCCAGGCTTCTTTACAGATGGGGGTAGAGTAGACATTTGATTAAGTACTAGCCAATGATACCTAAGTAGGAGTTGCGTGGGTCTCTCAGCTGACTTGATTGGCATGTGCCCTTCTATTCCTCTCCCTGCTGGAACTTAGACGTGAGGTTTGGAGCTGCAGCAGCCGTTTTGTAAGAAGACATCCCCAAGGATAGAGATCATGAAGTAAAGCTGGCAGAGCAGAATAAAGGGGCCTGGGACACTGGGGACATTTGGGAGTCACTACCAGGCTGAACCATCTCCCTCCCAACTTCAGGCTGCGGGAGAGAGAACCAAGTCCCCATCATGTTTTCTCCACTGTGGTTAGTGTCTTTTGTTGGTCATAGCTGAGCCAATTTCTAACTAATATATCCACTTAAACACAAACAAAGAAAGAACTTTTTAATTCCTAATCACTGCGGCCAACCATTGTCGACGTTCCAGGCACAGTGGTAAGTTCATTATTTTTACATTTGGGGACAATAAGTGTGTTCATACAGCCCGGCAACCAGGGAATCAGCACATCGCCATCTGCCTGAACTGAGACCATTTGTCACGGAAGATGCTCCTCCCAAAAGGTGCCAAACAGACCTGCCTTGAAGAAGCGCCCACGTGGGGACCGTTACTGGAAATGTCAGATGGAAAACATGTCCGGAAACGGGGAATGTGCAAGCCTCCTGTGCGGGAAAAAGACTCACCCCTCTGCTCAGCCTCCTGGGCCCTGAGCAGCAGCGATGCCACAGCCACAGCAGCTTTTCAGAACAAGCCCCCCTGTCACTCACTGCTTCGTTCTACAGGGCCCGGGTGGGGAGAGAGGGGAAAGGCCAGGAAAGAGGAAGGGTGCCAGGCCAGAAGGCCAGAGCCAGAGGGACCTTGGAGGGCTGTCCATTAACTTCAAGGCTCTCTTTTCGTAGAGGAGCAAGAGAGGGTCATGCCTCCCAGGAAGTTAGCGACTGGGCCACCCCTGGAACCGGGAGCAGCAGCCCCCTGGTGCTGTGCCACAGGGAACAGAGAATGAGGAATGTGGATGCACCCGAGTGCAGAGTCCTCATAGACATCGGCAGGCAAGGAGCGACTTGCAGGCATCTTCCTGGAGGTTCAGTATAGACGTCTCCATAGCGGAAAGAGGAAAGAGCAGAAGAGGAAGTTAGGGTGACTTGAGTGGCACGGGGGTGTGGGAACCCTAATCAGAGTACGCCGGACGTTCAAGGCCAATCTGCCATACGCAGGCACAAAAGCAAGGACACGGCAATCTTACTGTGTGCACTGCGCAGGCGTGCCTTTCTGTAGCCCAAGTACTGACGTCACTGTGTGGAACGAAGCCTCTTTTGTCTGAGTTGGTATAAAGATGCGTTGTTGGCCTGGCTGGTTTGGCTCAGTGGATAGAGCATTGGCCTAGGCCAGTGATGGCGAACCTTTTGAGCTCGGCGTGTCAGCATGTTGAAAAACCCTAACTTAACTCTGGTGCCGTGTCACATACCATAGCGGAAAGAGGAAAGAGCAGAAGAGGAAGTTAGGGTGACTTGAGTGGCACGGGGGGTGTGGGAATCCTAATCAGAGTACGCCGGATGTTCAAGGCCAATTTGCCATACGCAGGCGCAAAAGCAAGGACATGGCAATCTTGCTGTGTGCACTGGGCAGGCGTGCCTTTCTGTAGCCCAAGTACTGACGTCACTGTGTGGAACGAAGCCTCTTTTGTCTGAGTTGGTATATAGATGCGTTGTTGGCCTGGCTGGTTTGGCTCAGTGGATAGAGCATTGGCCCTCTGAAATCAATAAAAATATATTTTTTTTTTTAAAAAAGAGATGCATTATTGACCAGCAGGTGCGTACGTGGCTGCTTAGTATGGCTCCTGCTCTCTCCCTTCCTCTCTGTAAAAAATCAATAAAATATATATATTTTTAAAAAAAGAGATGCGTTGTTGACCACGTCAACAACGTGGCTGCGTGCGTGGCTGCTTAGTATGGCTCCTGTATTGGTGACTGTATTAGCAAGGGCTAATACTGGCTCCTATGTTTGTAGGCTCCTATGTTTACTGTAACTGCTTTGTAAGCTACTTTGAAGAACTGTTTTATCTAATGGCTCCTTGTTAGCAATGGCTACTTGGTCTGCAATGAAGACTCTCCTATAGCCTATGACTTCTCATGTCTTCTCCGTCTAATCCCCGGCGCCCATGACAGTCCAGTTCCTGGTGGAGAAGGACCTGGGCACCCAACAGGGGGCCAGGATGGGCAGAGAGGCAGAGGACTCATATCTGCTCATCCAGTTTCTCAGCCCTCCCCTTGCTATGCCTTGGAGACGGCTGAGTGACATCTGTGACATCATCTCGGCTGCTTCATACATGACCATGAACCAGCTGCATTTTGCTAGTCCTCATGCGAAGGGACATCAGAGCAGCCCAGCTTCCTCCCTGCTGTGTCTGGGACAGTTGGTCGCCACGGGAGAGTAATTCCCATTTCACAACTGAAGCAAAACGTCTTCCTTTTCTTAACAAAGTCATCACCAAAGGATGGAGATTTTCTACTATGTTCAGTCTCTTACTGGGACTGAGGGGAGCTGAGACGGACATACAAGACACTCACTCAAGACCCAGCCAGAAAAGGACTCAAAAGAAATGAGTAAGAGCTCGGCCGGGGTGGCTCAGTGGTTGTGGTCACGGTTTGATTCCGCATTTGGCACATGCCTGCGTTGCGGGCTCCATCTCCAGAAAGGGGCATGCAGGAGGCAGCTTATCAATGATTCTCTCTCATCACTGATGTTTCCATCTCTCTCTTCCTCTCTGAAGTCAATATATTTAAAAAAAGAAAAATATATATATATATTAAAGAAAGGAGACGAGTAGGATTTCCAAATTAACAG